TTCAAGTGAGGATATAGACTCAGCCATAACTGGCATCAAAAACACTTTCTGAAAAATGTGTGAAGAGACTGTAAAGTGGTTTTCATCAAATATCCTGACCTAGCGTACAGTTGACCTAGGATAAATTATCAGTGAAGCAGCTCTTATTGATACATTACTGATTGGACAGATGGTCTTCCAATATCCAGATTGGGCAAGAGAGCGGTGCTATGGTGTGTCACCATTTGTTCTACCATTGAATCTTAAACAAAGCCGTGTTGTCTAAACTGAAGCCAGTCCCCTCAGGGCAGTCATCAAGCTGTGCTACTAAGACTAAGGGTCTGATTTCATTTTATATTGTTTGCTTGTTCTCCAGAAGCACAGGGGAATTATACAAAATTCATTTTAACCATGGATTTCCCCCAATCCTCCCATATGGGTTTTCCAAAGAATTGGAAGCATGCTGAAGAATGTTATGGATGGTTTGGCAAGGGTTAAAGTTTAAAAAAAAAGGTAAAGTGACAGATCTGGCTGAATACTGTTATTTCAGTACCAGGAGTTTGGCACAAACTTTGTAGTTTGTTTAGATCCCTCTGCGTTTTTGACAGTGAACTGAATGCCACATTGGGGTCATTCTTACTGTTACTCTTGCTCTATAGATAGAAGTAGTCCTACAAGTGCTGCAGTCACACCTTCAATTGTAGTGTACAAAACCCTGAAATCTTTGGTTTTCTTTTATGTCTCCTCTTATACAAATTCATCACTGTAATTTTCCGACAAAAAATGTTATATTTTCATGTAGCTAAGCAGTAATGTTTTTCAAAATTGTCTTGAACAACACTTTCTTCTCAGAACTTGAAATATGACAATCTTCATGAATGTTGGAATTGCTATCATTATAGCACTCTACTGTATGAAGAATTAAAAAAATAAAATCCATACAAATAGCAAAACAAAGTGCTTTAGGACATGTATTTCAAAAGATTAGGGTAGTGGTTTTATCTTCTTTTTTTTTTTTCTTTCTCTTGAAACGTAATCAGGATAGGATTGTATTTTTCATTCTGAATAACATGTAAAATGAGATGTAGCTGTTTAACACATACCGTATCCATAGAGTCTATTTATTCAGACTGAATTCCACATGGACCATGGATAATCTTTTTCCCAAATGTTTACTAGTATCTGCTCTTAACAAGTGCTGCACCATATAAACTGAAGGAACCATAAAGAAAAGGGGCATAATAAAATTAAGCCTTGCTTTTCAACAAAGTCTGACTTAAAATCAAGAAGTCAAATTTTCAAATGGGTCAGATTTTAAAGAACTTTTTTAAGGATGTGAATTACATGTATTTAAAAGCATACAAGGAGCCATAGCTAGTACTACAAAATGAGATACAAGCAGGTTTTATGAGATGACATTGAAACTAGTAGTTTTAACTCAGATGAAAAGAGATCCAGGCTTTGTTAATCATCTTGTATTTCAAACCACTCCGTGCTATGCACAGCCTGAAAAATCAGGGTACTACTGCTCTGTTTCCCTGTCCCTTCCTATCTCGCTCAGTATGTACAGTCTTTCAAGACAGACAAACTGACTGATACTGTGTGGGCATGTGTGTGGTCTCTAGTACTAACAAAGCTAATTTTGGGTATAGCTTGTAAGTGCTGTCATAATAAAATTGAAAACAAATTGGAAGGGCTGGGTTTGAGCATTTATATGTGACTTTTTCACATTCACTTGAGTTTCTGTTGTTGCCATGGATACTATTTTTAGTTATAATTTCTGTTGATGTTTGCATTAAAAATTTAATTAAGTTTTTTCTTAAAATAAAAAACCCAAACAACACACACACATTTTGAGTAGCAGAAGAATTGGAAAGATTATATATTTGAAAATATTCACTAACTTTTTTCCACCCAAACCTCCCAAACACATTAGATTTAAAAAATATTTTTCTTTATAAAGTAAATAAATTACTTTGTTATCGCTTAGTAGGTATAAATATCTCCAGCTAGGCAACCTTTTTCCTGGTTTACTGTTTGTTCTTGCTTCCTCTCTCAGCATTAAATCTTATAGCATGTCTTGTTGATCAATAATATTTTTCATGTATAGTAAATTGTAATTTTCCAAGGAGACTTGTGATTCCTCCTATCCCAGACAGTTTTAATCATGTGTTTGTTAAAACCTGGGTAAGTAGCTTTGAAAAGCTCATCCCTTTCTGAGCTTCATTATCATTGAGGACTACTCATTTTACCTGTTCATTATTAAATAAAACTGAACCTCCTACTGTTCTGCTCTTCTACAAGATACACCTGGAAAGTGTATCCAATGCTGTGTACCGTTAGGCTTTGTTTCAACTTTGACAGTTTTCAATATCCATTCACATCATTTTGTATAGAGGGACTTGTGAGTGCAGAATATGTAAAACGCTTCCCCCTTCTGCAGGGGAAGAGAAAATAGGATACAGAAAACATCAAAAACATTATGTAGTGGATTGATGCTCTGGAATGTAGCAGAAAAGACAAACGTTAAGAGAGGTCTTGTTGTAGGAAGATGAGGAAGTCTTGATGACCTCGTGCTGCTGATGTGTGAAGGTCAGGTATTTAGGCTGATTATATCTATTGTCTGCCCTTGATACTATTGATCGTGGAGCTGTTTACTACCTGCCAATCCTTGAAAAGGCAGAGGGAGTGATTTGTCCAGAATGGTGGCTTTTTCTTTTTCCTTTCCTTTCTTTTCCATTCTTTCTCCCTCCATCCATCCCCACTTAGGAACTAAAAAAAAATAAAAATAGTTCGACTAGTTAGATATTTTGTTATGGCAGCTTCTTGTCATCACAGTTCCAGATAGTACTTGTGCATTTAGAGACCATATTGTAAATGAATTGTAAATAATTTAAAGTGAAGAAAAAATAGGGATATAAACAGCTGTTCTTTTACTGTGCATTCAACAGGTATTTTTAGTTCTCTCTCATTCCTCCTGCCTGGTGAACTTTGAATGATTCTTCTACTATATCTAATACAGTAATGACATATAGATGAGAATCAAAAGCCTAGCTGTTACGCAAACCATATATGACTAAAGAAAAATAGTGAATAAGAATTATTGTGCTTTTGAAGAATTTTACTTCAGAAAATAACATTAAAAATTAAAACTTTGTGCATCGGTGATAGACCGATGTGCTTACTTCTTGCAGAAGTACAGATGTGGAATTACATTAGCTTCTCCGTTTTTTATTCTGCCTGTATTTGCCAAGGAGACACTTTTTATATCCAGTCTGTAATCTTTTAAATATGTATGCTTTTACAGTTATCAATACTGTTGCATTTCTGCATAGCAGTGCACCTACTAAAAATTCTGTTCTAACTGGGATTAACTATAATATAGTGCCTAGAAAACTTCCACAGCACTTTCTGCTGGAAATGTTATATTCTTATAGCCTCTTCATTTGTACTTCCAGCATATCTCATGATTCTGGATTATTTCATTATATATCTACATAGTTTTGAGTTGGAAGAAGCAGCCAGAATTTTCTTTCCTTAAGTGATGCCTTACCTGTCCAAGATGACTCGGGTCACTCAAGCTAGCAGTTTAGCAGAAGAGGATGGAGATAGGGAGCAGTTCTTGACTAGAGTCTATATGTTCTATGACAGCTACTTAATGTATCATATTGTTATTAGTAAAAAAACTGAAGCAAGAACAAATATGAAAAAATACGATCAAAAGGACCAGCTTGACATTTGTTTTGTCCGTAAAAGAAAAGAAGGATATTGCTATAATAAGTTTAATTGCTATTTGTCATATTGCAGAGCTCTTCGTTAGGTTTTGAATGACTGGAATGTATATTTATTATATGAATATGCAACATACTAATAGTCCCATTTTTTCAGGAAAATTATTGGCCAGTGACTGAAAAAAGCATATTATATTATTATCAGTCCATTATAAAATAATTATTCCAATAATAATTATTCTAATATAGATAGAATTCCTTTCATATCCAAGTCAGCAGGAGCTTTAATATTGATTCCAGTGCAGCCAAGACTTTACGTGTGGACATTGGAATAAATGCTTATTGAAACACTCTAGAATAATTAGATCTTAGAGCATGTGATAACACAAAAAAGTTACCTCATCTAACATTTAGCAAAAGGAATTCTTTATCTTGGCTAAAATGTAGCATTTATCTAGTTTTAAAAGATATTGAGAAGTTCAGGACTCAGACCACCTTCCAAAAGAGTTTGGTCTGAAAACAGATTTCAATACTTCTATTGCAAGAAGATTTACTGTGCACAAACCCCCCTGTTTAATTGCCATCCTCCTCTTTGAACAGAAGCCAGAGTACTAGGCAGAGGGCTGGCAGAATACTGGAAAGTTATAAAGCATAAACTTGTAAAGTAAAAGTATAAACTCATTTTTGTTTCTTGATGCAATTTGGAATCAAAGAAGGTTTGTTAGTGTATGATTAGTCATGATTATCTTCTGCAAGACATTAAGTCATGCAGTTGTTTGGAAACTATTAAATCTGTTGTTCTGCTCCATGCTCTGTTCTCCGATGATGTCTCCCCCCCCCCCCGCCTCTTTTTCTTCGTTTTGTCCTTCCCTGTTGGGCCAACTGCCAAAACTCAGGGTTCCTGAAGATCAATTAGAAAGCTCTTGCTTCTCTGCTCAGTGTGCAGTCCTTCATATAATGTTCTTTATATAGCTTCAGCAGAAAGACCTGTAGCCAGCAGTTAAATAGTGTAGGCTATTCAGTGCCTAAGGTAACAGTACAAGTTTGAACTCAAAATAGTAACTGAAGAAAAAAGGAATAGATTAAATTGTAGGATTTAAAAAAACAAATACAATCTTCTATACCTTCATCTTGAGTTGTGCGAACTGGAATTTTTTTATATGGCTTTTCAAGTGTGTGAGGTAAATATGTGTCAGAGGAAGGAGTAATCTAAACAAGTTGTAATATTTCTCCTACATGTTTCTAATTTACTTTACATCTGTATAATACTTTACATGTTTGTATTTGTTACATTTGCTAATTTAGGTATTAAGTACCTGTGTAAATTAGCAGATTTCTGGTTTGAAGTTAAATTTCTCATGTTGTGATAGTTGACAGGTCGTGTGTGTGTATATTATATGCTCGTGTGTGTGTGTATTACAGGTATGTTCACTTCTCTATATATTTATTTCTTACTAATACCTGAAGAATCATGTCAAGATTTCAAACAGGTAGCTGTATCAAAGCATAGAAGCTACTCAAAATGGCAAATCTGCAGAAGGCTAGATAAGTTTTGGAGATTTAACCCAGAAAAGCCACAAACCATACCACTCAGGAAAGCTATCTTAGGAGATAGATACAGCAAACCTCTACGAAATTTTCTTTGCTCACTACTTGCAAAGGTGATGATGAAAACAAACCTTGCGTGCTTCAAAAGCATTTCTTGTGGTACTTGAGGCATAATGGTTTGGAAGAACAGGCTGCTTGTTAAGTAGGTTGAGAATTGGCGGGACTGCCAGGCTGGACGGCTCACCACCTAGTTGTTGGCAGGCAGTGAGCGGAGGAGGAGGAGGAAGCCGGGCCTGTTTAGCCTGGGGAAGAGAAGGCTGTGGGGCAGTTTAATAGCAGGCCCCTGATGGCCTGAAGAGCAGTTGCAAGGGCGACCAACTTAAACTCTTTCTGGTAGCGGTGCAGAGTGTAAAACCAAAACAAACCCACAAACCCCCATGGCTAAAAATTGCAGTTTGAGAGGTGCAGATTGGATGTTAGGAGAAACATCTTACCTAGGGAGAGTGTGCAGCACTGGAACTGGTTTTCCCAAGGCCCTGTGGAGTTTCCATCCACGGGGGGTTTTGAGTGTCGGCTAGAAAATGCCAGCTCTCAAGCGGGTGGCCTGCTGTGGTGTGGGCAGGAATAGTAACCCAAGCAGGAGCTGGGGCTGGAGGTCTCAGAGGTCCCTTCAAAACAGCATTGCTATGATTTAGTGGCTTTGCCCTGATAGCCACTTTACATACGAAAGATATCAGAGCTATTTGTCTTCAATTTTCTGTCAGTAACAGACCATTTTCCACCTTTTCCTTTGTAGCCAGCAAAAGAGTTAAATTTCATTTTGACTGTTACATTGGGATAATAGCTAAGAAGTGGCTGGAGGCGACTGAACCAGAGACAGAGGACAGAAGGAGGTACCCTTGTATGCCTCCAGTTACTACTTCTGAAAGAGGGCTTACTGCTTTTTGAAAGTCTGGTGAAAGAGGAAGAAATGGCATGTTATGTTACATTTCAAAGAATTTCTTCTACAAAGTCTTGGTTTCTGTACATGTGTGGAGTGTAGTAAAAATTATATGGGAATGTTGTCAGGAAATCCTTTCGATTACTTTAATTAAAAAAACCTGCTTCCCTCTGAAGTTCTGTGGTAATGAACAAGTAGTTACTGTCATCTTTTGTTTCTGAGTTTTAAAGCAGAGGACTCACACATACTACAACATTACTGTATATCTGAAAAAGGTTTAATACTAATTTATAAATATTTAGAGTTGAAACTTTCCTTATGTTTGAATTTGGCTTTTTTTTTTTTTTTTAAAGCAGTCATAACCACAAGTGAGCTAAAGCTGTTTCTGAAGGCCTAAAAGTGATTTTCATAATTAAGGGCTATTGAATGAAATACAACAAATAATATATTAGTAGTACATGATTAGCAGTACTCTCGTCTTGTCACAAAATTAGTGCGGGGTTGCAAAAAGTTTTAAAAATCAATTTTACCAGTGTTGAGTGATCTTTTATGTGAATCTGTGCCGAGGCCGTTACTCCACCTGTGGTGCTCGTCTCTTCTCCGGCAGCTCCTCGTCTGTCTCCTGAACTCTGTGATCGCTCTGTGATGACCCTTGCTAAAATGTAGTGATTACCATGTACTAAGAAAGAGGTATTTGCTATATTTAAAAAGTGTCAGTGCTGATCTTTGTGAAATGTGTTGTGCCCATGGGGGAAGAGACCTACTTTGAAGTAGGCAGGAATGAGCTTGTCTAGTCGGTGGGTTTAATTTCAGTTTACAGTGGCATCTGCTGATCTGTTTGGTGATACCGTGGTTTTTCATCTGCGTTACCACATCGGTGGAAGGGTTAGGCACTGCCGTGCATTCAGAATGCCTGGAATCTTGTAATTTTCAGGGGTAGACTTCCTCCACTGATAGATATATAAATCTGGTGATAGCATCTTGTACCACATCAAAGATGACTGCAGCGACTCATTCTTCAACTTCAGGCTCTGTTAAGTGTGTGCTGTTCTTTCCTAATAAGCATAACTGTGTCATATCCCTGGGTCAGTTTAGGGATTTTTCCCATCTAGTGTGCCCCATTTCCAGGACTTTCTCCTGCAGGTGATCTCACTTCCCCACCTTCTAACAAAGCTTTTTACTGGAGATGCAAATACATTGTTTTGGTCCTTGTCTGTCCCCGTTTCCCTGGTATGATATTGTTGCCTCGTAGCTGAGATGGTGCTTTGCCTACTTCAGTCCTTGCCTAAACTTCAGCATTGTTTAGTGTTCTCTGTACATTAATAATCTTTTTTTTGGGGGGGAAGGTGGGACAGGTGGTTGTTAATAGAAAGGCAGATAGATCACAGCAGTTTTGGAGTTATACAGCTGACTGCTGTAAATCCCAACTTGTTACTCCCTTTTAATTGTAACTTGGACTGATTTATCCCTAAAATAAAGCCAGGAATTACAAAGTCCTTCCACAAAGAATAGAGACTATAGTCTCATCTTAACCACATTCAGGTAGCTGTGCTCTTCACACAATTTCCTCAAAAGAAATGTTCAGAACGTACATGAACTTGGTAGGAAAAGGCTAGCTTTTTGTGGTACAATGGTATGATTTATATAGAATGGATAAAAAGGAATATTGTGGCTTATCTGAAGACAAATAACAAGCTTCATTCTCTACTGACAGCAATTACTTGCCTTTGTAGTCATACAAAATAATTCTTTTGTAAGAGAAGAAATTCCACTGTGCGAGAGCAAATATTTGAAATGGAGCAAGTGTTGTGTGTGGGAATTTGATATGTTCATGGAACACTGTTTTGTGCTAAAGTAAATAGATATTTTTCCTTTACAAATGGAGGAGCTGAAGATACCGGAGATGCCACAACTTCTGTTCACTAAATTGTCTTATGTCTTTTCTTTGCCCCTTTTTATTGACTTCTCATTTGATATGCCTGGACTATTTAGAGTCCTTACTTGCTGTTGTTATTGTCCTGATGACACAAAAGAAAACATTGTCCTGTGTTGTGAAATAAAGCATGGTTTGTAATCCTGTGTGTGCTTTGACTAGAGTGTCATCAGACATCGCGCGTTGACACATTTGTCTGAAATGGTGGTCCTTTACATACTTTGGAAATAGCATTCTGGTGTACTAATCTCTGGGAAAGTCATTTTTATTATTGTTGGCTCCCGTGTTTAGCGTGCAGCTCTCAGCTGATATACTATACTATACGTTACGGAAAAATGCTTGTGACTCAGCTAACAAAAGCCTAATGAAATGTGGAATCTGTTTCTTGGGTCCTTTTTTGTACTTTTTTACTTATTACTGCATGCAGTCCCGTCTTATTTGTACATAAGGCAGTCAGTCCTCTGCAGGGCAAGACCACACTCCCATCAGTTTTATATAAGCAGCAATTCCACTTAAAAGAAAATTTACCATTTTCATACCACAAGTAGAAGGCACCAGTCCATCAGAAGGCAAAAGTCCAACAGACTATAAATTACATTTAATTATAGATTAATTCTTTTAAAATAGCAGTGTTGTTTCTATGGCCTTCTTTTCTTGCAGTACATTCATTTAGCTGTCAGCCTTTACATGTAGCTATAATAAGGTACAATTACAGTGTATGTTTTCATTGTAGACTGAATCGTATGTCTTGCATAGCTTCAAATGAATGTTCTGCATAATGCTGGTTATAAAACAGTCAGAAAAATAAGGTAAAGTAACTGCAAGAGACAATGAATAGCTGAAAACAAAATAATATTAATAACTCTCCAGTACAAAACTGCAGGCTTATTTTGTTACAAATTTATTGATAGGTAGCTCTGAGAATTCCTATGATTTACTGACTGAAATGTCAAACCTGACTATATACAGGTTTTTAGAAGAAGTTAAAGAGAGTAAAAGTCATGCGCCATAGCATAAGGAGGGTTTTTTTCATTTGATGGAATTAAATTTCATAGTTTAGAGATCTCATCATTGTATGTCACAATGTTAAAATGTATCCAGATTAGGTCAATGGCTGGTTTTTGCAGCTAAATATCCTATGCAAGCAGATTCCAGCTGCTGAATGTGAATTCCTGTGAATATTGGGCACTTGAGAATGAAGTTTCTTGAGTTACTGTGAAGAGGGTTGTTGGGGGTCTGAAAGGCACAGCTGCTGCTCACCAAAGGAGTCCTTTCCTTTTGGTAACTCCTCGCAGTTATGAATTCATAACCTGAAGAGGTCTTTTCAATAGTTTCAGTGTTACTGTGTGCTTTAAAAATCAAATGCATTTGGCTTATTTCTTTTGAATTAACTTGCTGCCGCATTGTAAAACATTCATTTGATTTTACATGTGTTAGTCTAACAACACTGTGAGGAATTTTGAGGAATGCCCTCAACTGAGGCTTGTCAGTAAATGCCTAATTTCTTACACTTGGTGACTTTCCCAAGTTTCCCAAGTATGTCCCAGTTTCATTCCTGTAGCGGGATAACTTTGTTTTGATACAGCCCTCAGGAAGGAGGCAGCCATCAAAGTCCTTATCACTGGACTCAATAAGTGTTGGACAGCCTCCTTTTACAAGAAACAAAATTAAACCATCCCTTCTGTGGTAGGTGTGAGCAGACCTCTCCCTGTACCCTCGTGTGATCTCTGTGCATTCTGCAGTAATAGAGAAATGAAACCGTCAGCAGGCTGCATGATGTAGTCCCTTGGGCTGCCGGGCTTCTGTGAGGAGCCCAGTCTTGCATTCAAGTGTTTGCAGTCATATTTCTCTTATCTCCACTTGAACTTCTGTTCTGCTTTCTGAACAGCAGTTGAGGCTTGGGTTTGAATAACTTTTTGCCAGCAAAGTAATAATTACCACATTTGGGTTGTTCTTACTATATAGATTTTCCAAGCAGAAATTCCTTGCAAGATGAAGAAAAGCAAATAAACCAAAAGTGTCTTTATCTGTGCATAGTATACAAACGCTTCAGGAAAAGGAGAAGAAATAAGTATTGATGCATCTGTTTTCTCTCTTTACTATAGGTGTGCAGGATCCTCAGCATGAGAAGATAATTACTGTGACTACTAATGGAAGTATTCACAGCCCCAAGTTTCCACACACGTACCCACGCAATACTGTACTAGTGTGGAGATTAGTAGCAGTAGATGAAAATGTATGGATACAGCTTACTTTTGATGAAAGATTTGGGCTTGAGGACCCAGAAGATGACATTTGCAAGTAAGTTATTTTTCCTTTAACTTAGAAAAATCTAAAGGGAGGTGTGGGGGATGGGACAAAAGTGTTTCTCCCAGTTTTGCAAAAGTGTGACACCTGCATGTCAATATATTTATCAAATGCATCTTTTAAAGTATTAGTTTATGATTTTCTTTTGCAATGCTAGAGAAGGATTTCATACTCGAAAGCTTCAGGGTTCCTCCATTTTCCTTCTGCATTTAGTATCTGGGGCCACAGATACATTATGATACAAAAATGTGAAAAATTTATTCTCTCTCAAATAAAAGTTTTGACATCTGGGAAAATATACTTGACAGAAAGTTAGATGAACGAATGTCTAATTTTTACAGAGAAAATTTGGGTAAGCAGGTTCCCTGAAGTGGAATTCAGGTCACGACAGACAGTACAATATTCCTGTTCAAAAAAAAACCAACTCCACCCTACTGCACAATATTTTACTAGCCTTTAATGGTCAAGTTCTCAGTTTTCTATGAAAATTAGTACTTACAGTATTGCATTAACTGACATTCCTCAATGGTATTGTTTTTTCCCTGACTTTCCCTGACAGATAAGTACTCTGCCTGCTCAGTCACTGGCACAGGTTTCTGTAGGACCTGTGGAATCTGTATTTCCTTCCTACGACTTACAGCCAAAGGCTTCGTAGCTTGGGAGAGAAACGCCTGTGACACAACAGACATCACGATGGATGTAGTTCTGAACCAAGCCATCTGATTTGTTGTGGTTTGGATATTTTGTGAGGCAGTAGGGGCTGACATTGTATATGCTTCCTGTGGGTGGGTGAAAGGGGAGAGATCCTGTATCTGTCTGCCATCGTAGCAACACATCATAAAAAACCCCCAATGTGTGAATAGTGGTATGTTATCTGACCTCTTTTCAGTAAATTAAGTAACAGATAAAATATGTCATTTGAATGGCATATCCTCCTTTGATGTGTTCCTGGAGAGTTACTTCACACAAGATTTTTATTTCAAAGTATTTTTTGTTTTGTTTTTCTGTTTGGGGTTTTATTTTTTAGTACCTCATATACACATTTAATTTGATTCTTGCTTTCAGTTTTTCTAATTAGCTGATATATAGTTGTTTTCATATCTTGAATCAACTTTTGATAACAAATTTGAATTTCTTAGAGGCTACTTTTGCACTCATCCTTAATTTGGGAGCCAATGTTAATAAGAGATGGACAGATATTTTTCTTTCCTAATTCTGAAGGGCGTAATTGTCAAGGCCGTGTCAAATATAATTAAAATACTAAGTGTTATAAACATATGTTTGCTTAGATGAGTGCACTCCCTTTGCACAATAATTCTTTTCTTTAAATGAAAACTTAGCTTGCTTTTTCTTTTCTTTGCACATGGCAGAGTGAAGTGGCAAGTGAAAGAAAATCCAGGTAGGGTGACTCATTCGTCCACTTGCAAAGAAAAAAAGTAAGATAAGTTAAAATATTTTTAATATTATAACTAGAAGAGTATTTTAATGGGAGTACATTTATTTCAAGTAAACAATGTGCTGAACACAAAAGTACTGGTCAAATTAAGAAACAGTAATAAGTCACTCATAATCTTCATTTGGTCGTAATCTTATCATGCTTGTATTTGTGGAGGGATACCAGGAAGTTGTATGAATGCAATTCCTGATATGTGCACTTCTGAGGACCTATTGGGCTTTTTTGGTGTGCGAGATATGAACCTCTGAAAAAGAGAGTTATGTTGTTGTTTTAACCAAAAGAAAAAACATAGCTAGGATTCCTATGAAATTCAAATTCAGTAACAAACTCAGTAAAGAAAGAGAAAGTGTACCTTGTTTGTTGTGAAGGGGGTATTAATAATTGACAAGTTGAGGAAATAACTAAAACACGCTGTGTTTAACTATGTAAAACAATTCTACACAGGCCAAGTTAGTTACCAGTTATCAGAGTAATAGCTCTTTATAAGTAATGTCTTGTGTTTCTTATCTTTTATAGTTACTAATAAAATTATTTAATCTTTTTTCCCCAGTAACTTCTGTAGAAAAGCTAAAGGGTTTTTACTGACTGCATCCCATACTATTTATTACTCCACTGTGTTTCTGCCATCTTGAAACACACAAATCAGTGTTGTTGCTGTAGAGTACTCAACAGCTTCTCCTAAGGCAAGTTTACATGACAAAGGACAGAATAAAAAATGACATGAAATTTAATGTATTGTAACTCTATACCTTACAGTGACCTGATTCTTTAGTTCTGACCTATGGCTGAAGCTACATAAAAGCTGCAGCCCAGTAACGTTAGATTATGTATGCAACAGTGTACAGATTGTACCAGGATAATTTTCCCCCCCTTTTGTAGTGTATGAGAAGACCTCATGAGTTAACTGCAGTAGTCATTGTCACAGTTTTCACTTCCTCTACCTGCTGCTTAAGCTGCACATTCTGTGCAATGCCAGAGCTTTCTCCATCACTGCTGTGGGCTGTAACGCCCTGTAGTGTCAGCTCTCTGGGCTGATGAGAGAATATACTGGAGCATATTAATTTGAGATAATTGCCAAATTTTTAAATCTCATAGCAATTCAACTATTGCTCACACACAGGAAAAAACAAAACAAAACAAAAAAAACCCCCAAAACCTATCGTTCTATATGAGACTTTCTTGCTTAACACAGTTCTGTAACAGGAAAACAACGGTAGTGGTGAATGAGATGTCCCAGATGTATCCTGAAGCTATGGGAGGTTTTGCCTGTATCTGGCTGAACTGACCTCCACACCTGGATTTCTCCAAAGTCAGTTCTGACATTTCAAGCTATTCTGTGAAGTCTTTTCATCTAGAACGAATACTACATTTTACAGATACATTGAAGGTACCAGTCTATGCTCCACTTGAAATACTTTGCTGAATCTGAACCAGAGTGATCCTGCATTTCTTTTCTTAAACTCTGTTTTTACTTGCAATTCAACTTAGCAGTATTTGCTAAGGTACAGCATTTGGATTATAGCAAATTCTATGTTTGACCAGCCGTCCTAACCCAGCCTCATCTGGAGCAGGATTAATGTACATAGTCCTAATTGTTGTGCTAATTGTCACTAGTCTTAAGCATGATTGCTGTGTTCCATATGTTTTGGAAACTAAGTTATAGGGTTTTTTAAAATAAACTTCTGATATTTGGCCTATATTTCTCCAGGTGATTTTTTGTCCTGGTTTTACAATTGTGATATGTTTGAAACTTCTGCAGTGCATCTCAGCACTGTTTAAAATACAGCTAATGATTTTTTTTAACGATAGTTCTACTTCATCTGCACTGCATCCTTTCTATGGGCAAAATGTTAAGAATCCCACTGTGTTCTTTCCCAAGTGAACACAAACCAATTTACGTGGAAACTAGATCCATGTATGTATCTCAGAAGACATTTAGGTTATTTGGTTGATAATATGGATATATAATTCTCAGCAATACTGCAGGAATTTCTGCCTTGTACACTTTGCTTGATTTCAGTTGTGACTTGCAAAAGAAAAAGGTTATGAACAAAAAAATCCGCCAGCAAACCAAACAAAAGAGAAGGATGCAATCTCCTGGCTGTTTTGTGCAGTACTTTTCAGATGATAGAACTGGCAGTGAATTTTTCTTGCATAAGGGAATTTCTAGCTAACAGAGGCATAGTGGATTTACATTCTGTTTGTCCATCCTTTCTGATGAAGAAAAGCAGCAGCTTTTCTTCTGCTGCTATGATAGCTGATATGACAGGTCATTATTTTCATCATGCTAGCCCCTCAATGCTGTTTTTGTCATGAGGCCATTAGACTTCTGCGCTTGACGGCTCCTGTCATCAGGGAGACGCCATAACTCTCCTTGACCAGGAGGGACAGATTTTTGCTCACTTGTTGCTTGTTGTCCAAAATTGTTGCTTTCTGTCTCTAAGAACGTGCAGTGATAAAAGCTTTGGGATAAACCCCTGTGTGGCAGGAAGACACAGATTTTGCTTTCTTGCAGGAAGCACATGGTTGCTACAGTTGCCTTTAACAGGCAGTCTGATGTTGTGAGTACGTTGTACACTGGAGCATTACAACACAAGGCTGCAATAGAAAAAGAAAAAAAAAGTATCTTTCTTACATTAGTATCATGTGCCAAACTCGCTCTCTCCCTGTGCGCAGAATGGCTCTGGTTATTTGTCTCGGTGGTTGCAGCTGTTCTTTCTAATCATTAGATGATTACAGTCTGTTTGACTTTTATTATATACAATAAAACACAAAAATGTGTCACAAATCCAAAGTGCAATTACTGTAGATAAGATGATCAGGATAAAATACATGAGTAAAAGAATGTGGAACCAACTGATAGTTGAATGATAGATGCCATTTGACCATCATCCTCATTTTAGGATAGCTATACTAATTTCTGACTCTCTTCACTCTTCTAATATTTTAAAGTATGAACTATAGTCTGTTCTGCGGCGGGGGGGGGGGGGGGCTTATGGTGAATTTGTTCATATAGATATCTAAGTGAAGCATCTACCTATAATGTTTTGAAAGAATTCCCAAAGCTTGTCTAGTTAATATATGCAATATGTAGAACTTTTGCCTGAAGAAAATTAGTTAAGCTGAAGGCAGTTGTCAGTGCTAACGTGGGTTAAAATCTGTGAGTAGTACTGTGACTTTTTTTGCTCTTCACATCAAATTAAATAATTAACTCTCAATACCAGCAAAGAACAACCTCTGGGGGTTCTTAGGATGATGCTTTAAGATGCAGAGCCATGTGCATTAAATTCACTACCTCCCTTTTCCCTAACGTTTCTGTAACCTACTTGCCTTCGTTTCAGATCTGTTGTGACTGAAGTGTGCCCAAGCTATTCCCTTCCATTCAAGGGACATCAGGCTTCTGTGGTAGAAACCATAATCCAACCAGCTTCAACAGTCCTATGTGTTCCTAATGAATGTATTATTAGGAAATTGTTGGCAAGGGTTAAAAAATTAGAAGATTCGGCTCAGTCTGACAAGACTGAAACAAGTGTATTAA